CCGGATCGACCCACCACTTCAGCTTCGCGCCCGCAGCCGATGTGAAGATGGCGAACCCGTACTCAAAGCAGTCGTTGCGATTGTCCTCCCACAGCATCTGCAGCTGGCTGCTGTGCTTGCGGAAGATAAAGCAGTAGACGGCGAGGAACAGCTTGATACCGAACCCGCACGCCGCCGCGATGACCGCAGCCACGTCAAACTTGCCCAGCTCGTGGTCGCTACCCGCCAGGGACCGGATCGACTCGACGACCAGGACGAGCGAGACGGCCATCAGCGCAAAGGCAAAGCAGATATTGCCGGCGTTGCAGAGCCGGCCCGCGCCGGCGGGCCACTGGGTCGAGTGGTTGAGCTTCCGCGCCTTCCGGTGCAGGTAGTCCAGGCCGATGTTGCTGACGGCCTCGCAGCAGCTCTCGGCCATGGTCACGAAGAGGGACAGGGACCGGGTCGTCGCCGCGGCGTAGATCTGCAGCGCGGCGACGAGGATGGTGCCGTAGATGGAGGTGTTGATGGCAGCCTTGACGTGTAGAGATGATGTATCCGGCTCATCGTCTAGCAGCCGCGCAGCCGTTGGGTCCTCGGCTACCTGGATCAGACGGTTGATGTGGAGGTTCTGTTCCGTGTGATAGTTGTGTGCCCGCCGGATGCGCCGGTGGATCTGTTGGCTCCACACCGATGTGCTGGGCGGGCTCACGAGAGAGCCTCGTAGCCGCTCAAGCTCGATGTCGCTTGACATGGTGAAGTTGAAAATGGTATTATGCAGTATCTGTCAAGGTCAAGGAAGGTCAATCAGGGAAAATTTTGCAAATTCTCCAAGGCTCGGCAAGCCAGGCGGAAATGAATTCGATGAAGGGTTGAGACTTGGCACCTTGGCATGCTTTTACCCCTGCCGCAGGAACATTGCATGTTTTCGCCACGCAGATTGATTGTCCTATCGTTTCTGCCTATTTGCATTTTACAACAGTCAATCTAATCTCTGTCTCAGCCAAGTTCAGCACATACGACCACAGGGTGTGGAAAACAGGGCTTCCCGTCCGCTCAGCCGTACTTAAGCCACACGCCGGGAGGTTAGTAGTTGGGTGGGTGACCACCAGCGAATCCCTTCTGTTGTATGTTTTTGTTTTTTTAATCTCGCTATTCGACGGCTGTTTCCTAGCAATTGAGGCGTGCACCATTCCTTCTCCCCAACGCCGTCCATGAATTTGAGTCAAAACTTTAAGTAGGCTGACATTAGTTGTGAAACTCCAGCTGTCGCGGACGTTGCCCCTTTCTTCCAGGGGCTAGTGGGAAAGTGTGATGACAGCAACATCCACGCCTAAACAACAGGTACTGTACAACATCCGAATATCAAACCCTAACTGCATACGATAAGGTCGCGTTCTATACTGACTGCTTATTCTTATTAAACCATATCTTAATGCTATGTACCACAATCCCAAAAGTCAAATCTCCCCCACCTTCCAAGCTGATTGTACAGTATTTACAGATTAAACCAGCACGAAGGCAATCACTCCCACAACGGCAACGGCAGATCCTACACCAGCCCGCAGCGAGACACCCATACTATAGGCAGTCGACGACGAGGTCGCGTTGGCCGGCCCAACGGCGCTCAGAGACGCGGTCGGCTGATAAGCCGCCGGAGTCTGGTCGTCCACGGTCCCATTCCAACAATACCGTTGGAAACACTTCGTACAGGCCTCCGGGACGGCCGTGCCGGTGCGATTAAACGAGCGGCTGAGTACCGCACAGCCGACGCAGGTCGACCAGTCCGCATCCAGCGTGCCATTCGCCTGCGTCGCGACATTGTACCCATTGGTGATGATCGCATCACGCTGGGTATTGTTGAATTGACCCTCCTCGAGCGAGAAGTTCGAGCTATAGGTGATCGGGTGGTTGGGCAGGTAAACCACCAAGGGTGTCGGCGTAGTCAGACGAGAGGCGTTGCAGCCGAAGAAAGTCGGACGAGCGTTCAGGCCCAGATTGAGGAATGTATCGAGGTCTGGGATCTCCGGGAACGAGGTGTCGTTGGCGACGTCGAGGAGGGTGCGGTTGTAGGTCGCAATCAGTGATGAGCCGGTCGGCCAGTTGTCGTAAGACGAGGAGCCGAGGGAGTCGACGGCGAAGATCACGTCGACATTGCGCTTCTGTTGGATGAGCGGGTACAGTGGAACATTCTGGCTGGTCTCGCCTCCGTCCTGTACGATCAGATTGGTGGTTTGTGCGTATGGGGAGGTGGCTGTGTTGTATTGGTAGAAGGGATTCGGGTCGTAGGCTGCCGGTCCGTCAATGCTGGAGTTGGTCGAGCTGGCGGCGTTGTCGAAGTCCTCGACGGCGCTCTTCAAAAACGCCGTCGTGGTGGAGTTCGGCGCGGCGGCTTCGTACTGTTCTAGGATATACTCCAAATAATAGAGAATGTCGTGTCCGTTTTCGTTCCAGATATCGCTTGACGAGCCGGTGATGAAGCCTGCATTGTCGAACCCCCGGACGCAGGTTTCATTGTCTGGCACTACACCGTTGACGAATCGAGTACCAAGATACTCCAGGGGCGCGAAGCCATAGATGTCGTCGTCGTAGGTTCCCCACTCCCAAGGGGTAGTTTCAAAGATTGGATATGTTGCTGGGGAGGATGACAAGGTCTCGGTGCTTTTCTGGTTGCCAGTCATAACTACCAGAGGCATCGGGATATCACCACTCTGGAAGGATTGCGTCTTTGCGATCGAGGACCAGGTGTAGTCAACGCCCCCATCGCTGGCATTGAAGAAGTTGTATCCCTGGATACGGCCCCTATAAGCATATGTCAATGTCCGTTCCTTGGCTCAGAGGGGCAAGCAAGCTGACCAGAAATCCGCGTCGCCGGTCTTAAACCCAGCCTCCCGTTTGCTCTTAACGTCAGCGGAAATATTTCCCCAGAATTCGACATGCGAGATCTTAGCAGGACCGTATATAATTTCCTCGGAGTTAAAGTCCCACAGGTTCTCCTGTAGATTGGAGACCGTCGTAAAGTTATTGACGTAGATAGAACCGAGAGCCCAAGATCCACCGCTGAGGGCAGCAAAATAGGTGGCTGACTGCAGCAGACCACCGAGTTGACCTTTAGCCGTTGATCCTTCAGTACGTTCATCGAAGGCCTTAATGACACCTCCTCCATTGAGACACGCGACAAGACCACCACCCGAGATGCCAATCGCGACATTGGGTAAATCGCTGCCAGAGTGGTTCGTAATGTAGCTGACAGCATCGAAGTTTTCAATCTCGATATGTCCAAAGAAGTCTTTCAGAGCGGACTCGGTCTTCTGACGGCGAGTTTGGAGCCATGCTGTCTCATTGGAGGAAAGTGCGGAAGCAGGCCGAATTGTAGGTCGGCTCGATGGACAGGTAACATGGACCGGGGCATAGCCGCTCGGAGCATCAGGGAGGGCACGAGGCTTGACATTCATACCCCGTGAAGCGAGGTCTGCTTTGATAGATACGGCACCAGCATTGGTAACTGAGATTAAATGTTGTGAGCTTTGGGTATTCATCAAGTACAAAACGACGACAGTTTGAGGCCTCCACTTCCTCTCGGAAACTTACATTCTATGATGTTCAAGGACATCAAGCCCAAAAAAATAGACGTCTTCATGGCACCCCAGTGAGTTGATCAACAAGGAGTCAATCAACAAGAAGTCAATCAACAAGGAGTCAATCAACAAAAGTCACAACAATGTACCTTGAAAGAGAAAGTTGTTCATGTGCTTGAACCTCGATCTGGATCTTGGGAAAGGTCGAGCTATTTATCCTCACGACCCAGCTTGAAGACCAGGTCAAAGCAAAGTAGATGATCAGACCGCGTAGAAAGAATGGCGGAACATAGCGTGTGGAAGTGGAGTCTGAGGCTGAGATGGCGCAAGTAGCCCCAACAAAAGTAGAAGATTCCATCTCTATGTGGTATATAACTCGGGATCGTCGGGCTGAGGTGGATCTCCTGAGGGCCCAAAGCGGTGTTCGCGTAGTTAGCGTTGGCGCGCTAGACTAGATTCAGGAAGCAGTTCGGCACCATACCTCATCAGTCCCACATGGCTGAGCTTACATCGAACAAGCCTCATATTTCCCCCAATCGTCAAAAACAGACTCAATCACTGTGACTAACTCATGCAGGCAGCAAGACGTCGGAATCTGAGTGAGAGTTTGACACTGCCACGTCATCAGGTACACGTGCAGTCCAAAGGTGTTCCTGGCTGGCAACTCCGCCACCATGGCTAGGGATATGCATGAAGCATACATGGTAAGTGGGGGACAAGGACCCAAATTACGTAGCTGAGCTCCCGTGCGGGGAAGCTACTTGTCTTTCCGATTTCCTTAGAGCTCATGTTGATGATATAGTTGTGGACGGTACCCGGATGAGAAAGGCTGAATGCGACCGTTTACCTGAATCACAAACCTGTTCGCATCAATCCTGTATTATACTGTACTGTGATCCTGATCCCATGCAACACTTGACAAAATCAATATCAACCAACAAATCTTTTTTGACTACCCCTTTGGAGTTGCTTCTTCAGATCGAAATGTCTGGAGCTGTCAATGCGACTTGGCGCGCTACGCATGCGGCGGGTTGGCAATATAGGGCTAGAAGAGAAGATATAGATCCAAGTAGCAGGGCCGGGGCCCCGCACATCTCATCAGCTTCCCATAACTTACTCGTGAATATAGAGCCCGGAGACGAGGTAATAATCCAACAGCAATCGGCAGAAAACGAGGAATACCGCGTCAGAATACATTGAAAAATCACAATAAATGCTACTGAAAGTGTTACCGGCAGTGACAAGACGGAGATCCGTCGGGGCATTAGATCCATCGGCAGTCGGCAAATCCGCCCGGGTGCGAACCATAAAAGAAATAACGCCATTTTGCTCCCCGCACACGCATTACAACTAAATCAGGAACTGTACGGTATAAATAGTCTCACTCCCCTCTATCTGTCCTCGAATCACCCCTGGCCTGACAGATCAACCCCAAGAATAAAGATGCCAGCCCACACCCGCCTCCCAACCTATTTCATCGGCCATGGTACCATCACCTACAATCAAACCCCTTCACCATCCACTAACCAAGGGGGAGGAAAAAACTAGGCGGCGTCTCAATCCTCTTCAAGCCCGGCTACGGCCCTGTCCAAGACGAACTCCGCCAAATCGGCCGGGAAATCCACGGCCTCAATCCCGAAGCCATCGTTGTAATCAGCGGACACCACCAGAGCGAGAAATCCGGGGTGGTAGAAGTCAACCTCAAAGAACCCACCAAGGTCTGGCACGACCTCGGCCCCAGCTGGAAAAATACTTATCCGCACGTCTTCGAGTACGAGTACCCGCACCAATCATCGCGCGCGTTAGGTGAGCAGGTCTTGCAGCACCTGCAGGATCATGGGATTCGTGCCGCGAGGGTGAAGCGGGATTTGGACCATGGGGTGTATGTTTTCGCTCTCGCGTTTCTTCGACTGATCTTAGCTGTTTGAGGATCGGTATCGGATGTTAGATCATGATCATGAATGGCTAACTCGATCCTGGAAAATAGCTGGGTCCCCTTCAAACTCATGTTTCCCGAAGGCAGTCCAGAGGAATTGGTCGACGTGCCCATTCTCCAAGTCTCTTCGTTTGCAGGGGATGATTACGCGGCGCATGTAGAGTTGGGGCGGGCATTGGCGAGACTGTGAGTGTGACATCTCTTCACTCGACCTTTCCTGTGGAAATGTATCAGCGGAAAGGAGAACAGAGAAGAGCAAACCTAACAAGACCGAACAACAGCCCCGGTCGCATCCTCATCGTCGGCTCCGGGATGCTATGTCACAACCTTAGAGCCACCCGCGAAAGCACCGACCTGACAGTCGTCAAAGCTATAGAAACAGCGGCGCTGCAGATTCTGGAGACAACACCGCAAACGACACAAGGCTTGACAGAGGCATTCTTGCGGTTGCCGCAACGGTCGGATTGGCCGCTCGCACATCCGACAGTGGAGCATGTCTTGCCGCTGTATGTGACATTGGGAGCTGCAGAGGAGATTGAATCTGTAGAAGGGAAGGAGGAACTCGAAACCAAAGAGGTGGAAACGTGGAATCGGAATCAGTATATTGTCGGTCAATCGTATCTGTCATTCCGGCTGGGCCGGGCTTCAACTTAGAGAGACCTTGTCGGAAATAGGACGATTCTAGAAGTTGGGAGCGGCACAGCTGTATATATGCCTGCAGGGAGCGGAGCAAACCACCACATAGCTCAGTGGGCATTGATGCAAAGTAATGTGTCGAGTAAGGTTTCAAAGACTTGCTGTCTAGCGATGCGGAAGAATTGCCCTTCGAAATAAAAGGAGACGGGAATGGGTGCAATTATTCCCACCTGCGGATGTATGGAAGAACAAATACCCACCGTATGTGATTCGCAAGTGCTTGGGCAAGTTTGAATTCTTTCATTCTCTTTCATAAATTACCCAGTTACAGCAACGTCTATTCCTCCCCTAGATTGGCACGGGGCCAAAACAAAGGCGGCCAGCCAGCCACTGCACAGCGGCTGTGGACTAGTACCCTGCATCGCTTCCAGAATACTCTTCGAGAAACACGTGGGATGTGTGATGACATAGTATGTATAATGAATGTATTTAGTGTTTTTAGGATGACTAAGTTTGTTTAAATAGATGAGAAGGCTGTGTATCAACTAAACCATCCCGGGTATATATAGCTGGGGACAAGGGTTGAGACTGCAAATTCATGTCTGCTGAGTTGTCTGTGTGTAACTATGCTAATATATTTTAGTTCTCGACAACCTAGATGCATCTGTTTCTTGTCGAGTGACCTAATCCAAAATAAATTTACACAGCAGAAGTTCCTTCTTGTTGAAAGCAATTTGAGCCTTCCTACTTTACACATACACGACACCGACACGCAATTCTTCGAGTGCTACAAGATGGTAACTCACGGTCTGCTTTATCTTTATAAGAAACATTCTGTCGCATTTACTTGTGCAATTTTCCGACCGCGGGAATAGGAAAATAGGAATAATATCGTTCTTTCTTTCTACACTTTGATTCAGCACACATCGAGTCTTTTGGACAACAGCACTGTATTCAGCAACTCTAAAGCCCAAACAGGAGGAGGAAGGGAAAGAATGCTCAGATTCGCTATCAGTCTGCCACCTCTCTCAACCAAGAAGAGTCTTTTGTTCAATATCAACTGTTCAGCCCTAGTCCAAAGCCTCACAGTCCGTCTGGAGGATATCTACAGTAAGAGTAGTTTGGCGGTAAGTCGGGATACTTCTGTGAGACCTGCTATATTAGCAAGCACCTACAGAATAAATGGCTCGAGAGAAGAGACTCAGCAGGTTGGGGTTTTAGATCATGAAGGCTTGTAAGCTAAGGTTGGATAGACTGTGAATCAGTTTGAATTCACAGGATGAGACAACCAACTCACTTCGTTAAGCTGAAACAGCCACAGCGGAATTAGCTGCCCCACTTGGCTGGAGGCCTGAGGCGGTGGGCTTACTCAGCTAATTTACTTATTGTCAAGGATGCGACACAGATGACGTCTTCAAAGCCATGTTGGTGTGCAGGCACCATAGCCATTATCATTTTCAACCCAGCCTTGCCAGCGCAGCGGATGACGGATCGTGCTTGGCAAAATGGGTACTTTTGTCTTACACCATTGAAGTTGCCGACTGGCTACATCGTCAATTCCTGATCCGGTTTCAGTGATTCCCGATGTAGATCCGGTGGGCCAAGCCGCCCAGCATTCGGATGGCTGTGTGGCGGATTCTGAGCGCCATAAACCCAGATGCAAGGCTACCTCAAGGGCAGCTTTGCACAGCCCGTCATGCCGTGCGCCATGCTTGGCAGACGTCTGCTTACAATACGAAATGTCTATAAGTGCTCAGTACGACACAGGCTTCTGTGAGGAGGTCCCAACCCTGGCTCTGATTCGGGATTAGCTTCCACAATGCGGCATTCATCACAATCCATCATTTTGTTTTCATCTTTGGTACTCGTTGCCACTGCTGACCGCCTGGGTCCCATATACCCAGCACCGGTTGACCTTTCTAGCTCCCATAGCCATGTTAGGGCTGTCTGGGAGAATCTCACCACTACCATTGACGACTATTTGAAACACCCTTCCAAGAACGGATCGACCACGCTTCTAGGAATTGAAAACATCACGTTTTCAGCCGGGCTATTCTCAGTCCATGATCCGGAAGCGAAGAAACTCCAGTATCATTGGACCAGTCCGGAAATCGCAGAATCCACCAATGGAACCAGGAAAGTGGATGGAGATAGCATTTTCCGCATCGCCAGCGTCAGCAAGCTCTTCACCACTTATGCTGGCATGCTCTCTCTAGCCGAGGGTCAGTGGGATCTTCCCCTCTCCAAAATCTACCCCGGTTTCGCCAAATATGCGGCAGAAGCCATCGACGCCCCGGCGTGGAGCATCAATTGGGATGAAATCACGCCGTGGGCACTAGCTTCCCAAAGTTCGGGCATTCCTACGCAAGGGGGGCCGCTCATGGATCTACTGTGGCAATACGTAACGGGGCAGAGCACCGTAAGCCCTATCACAGCCTACGGACTTCCGCCAGAAAATACGAGCAGCCTGGGACCATGCTACGGCTCGCTTGAAGAGGCACTTGAGTTGTGTGACAGCACGAATGTCATCGATTCTATGGGATCACGGCCACCGACGTTCAAGCCTTGGTGGACTCCTATGTACTCCGACGCAAACTTTGAGATGCTGGCGCTCATGATCTCTAACATCACTGGGAAGTCAATATCAGACATATATCGGACAGAGGTCTTCGACTCCCTGAACCTGAGCTCAACGTTCTCGTCTCCGCCGACGAGCAATGTGACCCAGGCCCGGGCTGTCGTTGCGGGTCCCGCAGCAGCGGGGTTCTATCTGGAGATCCCCTTCACTACCCCATCCGGAGGGATCTACTCCTCAACCAACGACCTCGCCACATTCGGTGTTTCGATCCTGAACCACACGCTACTCCCCGAAACTACCACGCGCAAATGGATGAAACCTCAAACGCACACAGCAAGTCTGACCGCCTCCATTGGCGCCCCATGGGAGATCGTTCGTGTTGTGAGTCCCACCACGGGTAGGGTGACAGACATCTATACCAAGCTGGGAGACTCGGGCTACTATGGCGGCATTGTCGCTCTGATCCCAGACTATGACGCCGGTTTCAGCATCCTCGCAGCCTCTACGAGCGACCAACGCAGTGCTCTGACCAACGTGATCCTGGATTATATTACTCTGTCTGTGCTTCCAGCTTTAGAGGCCCAGGCCGCTCTCGAGGCAGCTCAGAATCTTGTAGGCACATACGTCTCAGAGGATCCCAGTCTCAATTCCTCCGTCACTATCGCGACTGACGATTCTGTCGGTTCTTCGAGCTACTTCCATGGTCTGAGACTTACCCAGTGGATATCGAACAACACCGACCTGCTAGCCTCGCCCTATCTGAGCGGTTACAAGCCTCGGCTTCTGCTGAGCATCCCGAAGTCTACTCCCCGTGGCGTGGCCGGAGAGGTAGCCTTTCAGGTTTCCAGGTTCCCGCAGACGTACAGCTATTTCGCTTCCAATGCGGCAGATCTCGGCGTGATCGGTCCATTTACGGGTCAATATAACACCAACCTGGACTTTTGGAGTACTGACACTATTTACTATGGAACTCGTGGTTTGGGCACGTTTGTTTTCACCGTCGACGGTGACGGGAAAGCTTCGGCTATCTCTCCTACGGCTGCGAAGATCAAGTTGGAGAGAAAGACGTAGCTGGACTTCTTCTTTGTTATGGTTGTTGTATTTATCATTTTGACGCCAGTCCTAGTTCTTAAACTGTCTCCGTTCACTTTTCTATCGAATATAAAGCATCCCACAAATCTTCAAGTCACTTCTCGGTCATTATTTACCTTTACCCGTCGCACAGATTGATTTCCAGAAGTCCAACATGTCAAACTGCATTGGGGGCACACTTACCATTCTTGAGAAACGATCTTCGCTCGCTGCTATTGGTGTCTGGAACAGTGCTTAGCTTCCAGAGCACCTTGCCCTATATTCCTTTTTGGTGAAGGAGTGGCTGTTCATCGAATTTATCTTAATAAGGAATTCATGTTGCTACTGGCGGGCCTGACTCATTCCCGAGCCTGGATTAGAAATTGGGGTGTAATCACTTAAGATTATACTAGCAAGATTCTCTTTTAGGTAGGATTCGAACCCTGTTTATGTGTCGGTGTAAACCGGTACATGAAATTTTATGCTTAATCATTTAACTACATGTGGACCTTGTTTCTGTACATTGTGGTGATGTGGCGTCGTTAATCAGGTGTATCATAAATTTCCATTAGACAATGCAAATGGACTACCAGAAGAGAAGGTATTAACATAGCTAGCGATGCCCCCCCGCCCCCCCACCCCATTTTCTCTCATTTTGTTCTTCTTTTTTTTGTTGGTGACCACCGCCTACGCCATGCTTATCTTTGGTGTATATTTTCTTGTTCTGTATTGCTTATTCTTGCCTATCCAATCACATTTGGAATTGCAAAGCACTACTAGTGTCTGGTATTTTTCACTATCCAATGATCTCTGTCTTATTAGAGTTTTTGGATAGCAGAGAACAAGACCTACCAAATCTTGAATATCCTACATATTGAAATGGATTCATGAAGGTTTATGAAACGGCGCTCGGGTACGCAGGCGTATTCAAAGGATTGACCGCTAGGGGCCTTCATATTCAGGGCAGTCTAAGCCAAGAGCCCACATTCTGAACATGTCAAGACGTCATATGAACCCAGCACTATAACACAACAAGGTCAGCCTTTACAAGACATGTAGGACTCATGCAAGGGACCGGATTGGGCAAGATATTCGTCACTCCCATGCTCTGAATGACAAACCCCCTTTACCTGGCACACCGATTTTGGAATCCATGTCTTTGTGTAGAATTATCTCATTGTCTGTAAGCATGTGACTAAAGCGCTCTTTAGGACTGATCAAGCCTCTACAACTTGCCTACATCTTCGCGGTCCATGTTGACCTTTTCGTGCACGCCTATGACACAGAGCTCCCCAGAATCGACATCGTAGAAATCAGCCCTTGCCAACGCCATACGCCTTCCCAGATTAATCATGAGGCAGATTGCCCGGACCTCAGCACCTAGCGGAAGAGAATGCAGGAAGGTCATGCGCATATTGCGACTGACGCCGGAGTCCGAGAATCGACCCGGCGTGGCCGCAGCGATAATAAGCACGTTCGTGAAATTATCGACAAGAGTAGCAGCGCATCCTCCATGGAGATGCATTTGGGGGCCGCACATTGATTTTGTCACCACAAATCGGTAGGTAACGGAAGTATCGGGGCGTTCAACTGCAGACTCGATTCGAAGATAGCAATCCTCCGCATTGACATCCCAGTTCTCATGAGAGATAGGAGTTAGCAGGGTCTCTCTTCACTACGCTACAAAGATACAAGGACATACCTCCTTGAGCTTCTGATGTCCCATGAGCTGAAAATACCAGAAAACCTTCTTTTCGAAGTTCTCAATAATCCCTTCGGGCGCGGACATTGACATGATCTTCTTCGGCATGGTGAAATAATTGCAGGATGGTATTGCGTGTTGGAATTATGTCTGATGTGCAAGGCACAATTCAAGGTGGCTAGACTTGTCATCTTGGAAAGAGTAGGGCATTCGCCCGTTATAATAGAACCTCCAACGGTGACGCACCATTATTCATTCTGATCCACATATTCACAGAAATATTAGTAAAGCATGATAGTCAGACGAGAAGCTAGAAATCCGTGCCTGCCTTTTTCTTTAATGTACACGTCACAAGACCAGCAATGTATGTACAATTGCATCATGCAGAAGTTCTAAGTATGCCGAAACTCGTGTCATGACCCAGAATCGTGTAAACGCAGATTCTCAATGCTACTTTGTGGCTAGCCAGGTCGGCTCTCTACTGAGCATTTTCTCTCCTTAAACAGTCATTCATAAATGAATACGCACTGAGTGATCTTGGCTACGCGATGAGGCCATTCTTACAGATTCATCAAGCTTGGCATGACATACTTTGCCTCATGCTAGATACATCAGAGTAGTTTACCTGTTCTCGGTATGCATTATTTATTCGCCGATAATCGCCTCCAAGTCAACGCGGGAATGATCTCCCTGCCCTCCGGGGTGACCTTTGGCTCCTCCGGGATGAGCCTCAATATTTCACAACCATTGTCCGCTTCAAAATGTACAACCCGTCTTTCCAGTTGTCCAATCATGTTAGGGTAGATACAGTGTGTAAAGCGATGCTGAACGGTTGGTTTCTCGCCATCGTCATCCACGTAAAATTGACCGGAGTATGCGAAATACCGTCGGGCCGCCTGAGAATGCTCCTCGGGCGTGGCAGTCCAGTAGTCAACCGACTTGAACTCAGCTTGGCCGGGGATTCGTAGCTGCGCGGAGACATAACCCGCCTCGCTGTAGATCAAGTGGCCCGATATCTCTCTGCCAAAAGGATGATCCTTGTGCTGGGAGCCTGACTGGGGATTGGACACCGATGTGCACTCCACCAACTCCCAGGCTCCCAACAACCGATCCCGAAGTCGACTGTGACTCACCTGCTTCTCGTCCTCTTCCCGTGGCGGGGGCAGCAACCTAGCAGTGCCTGACTCCACATAGTTCTCTCGGAAGAATGCCAGTGCGTAAGACGGGAGGTACGTTCGTTCCTTTAGATAAATCTCCTCAATGTCGCACACTGTCTGCAAGCCCACAAGATCCATGAGCTCGCAGGGCCCATACTTGGCCTGCATGGCCTGCTTGAGCATCGCATCAATATCCGTCGGGCTTCCCGCGCCATCCGCAAGCACCATCATGATCTCACGCTTGACCGCCGCCCAGATACGGTTCATGATGAACCCCGTCGAGTCGGCTTGGCAGACCACCGGACGGCGCCCGATCTCGCGGAGCTCCTGCGTCAGAGATTCGATAACATCAGGGCTTGTTTGTCCGCATGACATGAGTTCAACGAAAGGCCCCTGCGCTGGGGGGAAGTAATGAGCGTTCAGAATGCGACGTTGGCCCGCAGCTGTGATGCCTTCGACCAGGGCACTGCTGCGAATCGAGGATGAATTTGTCGTGATGATTGTGTTCGAAGCGCAGAGAGAGCTCAAGGTGTTCAACAACTGCTTCTTGGCATCGATGTCCTCGGCAATGCACTCGATTACCATCCACGCATTCTCGACGGCGTCTTTTAGGTCTCGGGTGATCTTCACATGATTGGGCTGGTCCGCTTTTTGATCGAGCTGTGACTCAATCCAGTGCAGAGCATCCTGCGCAACGTCTTCGTTTTTATCATACAAAGTCACTGTGCGGTTGTGTTGAACGTAGACTAGAGCAACCTGGCGGCCGATTGTGCCACAGCCGATAATGGCAACGTGCTTAGTATCGCTGTAAGCCATGGTGATTGTAAGGTGCGGACGGAATGGCCTTGAGTAGTGAGGTTAAAAACGTCAAGAGCAGAAATTCGCAGTTAGTTTCCACCCGTGTCATGGTAGACAGGGACGGTCAGGGGCTTATATTCAGCACTTTTTCCGACGCAAAGACGACCCATCTGGGAAAGTACTGCCAATGTGATGGAATGCTGCGGCTCTCTTGGCAGACTACACAGGTAATACAACTCACAGTCGGTCTACCATGTATGCATACTATTCGCACTTGGAAAAACTTGTTCTCTTCAAGATACTACCTGGGTTGACTTTCAAGTCCAAGGCCAAGTGGGTGTGACACCAATTGTGGCTCTGGTATCTCAGGAATAGAGTTTCTGCCCCCTTACATCTAGATGACTTCATCCAGCGGAGGAGAAAAATCGCCGAACTCGACAAAGACCGCCGTTCATAATGATGAGAAGAAGCTCATGGCATCCTACTCTTCCCTTGGGGGCTTACTGCATGAGATAATTGCACTGAGGTTCCTAGTATTGTCTTAGATCGTGATGCGTCATCTTACCAATATTACGTGAAGGGTCGAGCAGGTGATCAACACGGACACATCGATGTTGGAAAACCATCACCAGTCTTGAGATAATCCAGGTTTCCTTTTGCAATCTCTTACTAAAGAACATGGCAGAAGCACAATCCTGTCTCAGATTAGAATTAGCTAATTTGTATTCATAAATGACCTCGTGGTTTCCAGGGCTCGAGCCGAAACTGCCCTAAGATATACTCCATTGCTCTAAGCAAACTCTCAATACTTACATGATCGTGAACAACCGAGGTAGTTGAGATTTTCTTTTCAAGAACCCCGACTCATGTCTCACACCAGAACTCAAGACTTTAGTCAACTCTGGGGTAAAATCAGTCATTCGGTTTGTGCACTTGTAGCCCAATCTATCGCGCATCGCCTTCCAATCATATGAGCCAGTTCCAAACGGCCGGGGTCACTGCTGCCTGGGGCATCAAACGAACGCATGCGGCTTCATCGGTTTCAGACTAAACCCTTTACAGTTTGCCGACACACCCGACCCTAGCCTAACCGGTCGATAACCGTAACTCTCTAGGATAGGGGCTGACTGTATCTCCATAGGCATAGACCTGCATTGAATGCGAACGAGTGGGGGCAAATTCCTTTGAATTGGTCAAATTCGCTGCCTGACCTCGACTAAGTGTCTGTTCTGCGGACTGATCTACGATTGTCAACACGACATATAACTCTCATCTTTTCAGCCAACATCGTCCTTCCTTTCCCTCTCTTTCTGTGATTATCGGAAGTCAGTGTTATCTTCAAGATTTGGATTACCCTATGACATTGTGCCACACCATGAAGCCTACATTCTTTGCCATGCTGGCAGCCCTAGCACTTCCGCTCAGCTCGGCTCAGACCGCTAGGCCCGACTGCTACACCAGCACCGGTGACATGGAAATGGTTGGCACATCCGTATACCAGTCTACCGGGATTTGCATGAATATGTGCAACCAAGTCAACGCGTATTACTACGCCACCCAAGGAAAAGCCTGCTGGTGTGGCAAGCAGCCACCGCCATTTGAGACTAAAACAGACAACCGAGCCTGTACAATTCAGTGTCCGGGTCACCCGTTCGATAAGTGTGAGTCTCATGACCTTTTCCACCATCGCAATTTGTCTCTAGTCGACTAACGAGACGTAGGTGGCGGTGATGATGTCTACTCGGTTGGGGAAATGCCGGGCGACCATCCGAGCATCTCTAGCGGGGAAAGCGCTTCGACTATGGCTGCAGCTTCGACTGCAGTAGGCACAATTCAGAGCACAGCTACTGCTGATAATTTGGCTATGCCCTCGGAGTCATCTGGTCCTACCAGTTCCAGTTCTGTCTCTGTCGTACCTTGGACCAGCAGCACACCGCTGGCGAGTGCTGTTCATGCCAATTCTACCTCGGGGGCGAGCCCTCGCTTCAAGCTACTCTTTCTCCAAGATTCTTAAGGTTGATTCAATTACACTTTGCGCGATTTGAATGTTGTTACTTGATCAATTTCTCCGTTGATGTTGTAAGGAACGTAGACCGCGAGTAGGCAATTCAGGGAGATCTTCCTTCGGTATTGATACAGGAGGATACAACTGTTCCAAAGATGTAGTAATCTTCTGACCATATGTAGAGAGCGAGGAGCAGGAGATGCTAACATTGATACTAAGAGGCGGGAATTTGTTTATTTGATCTAACTTCGATTGTAGGGAAAAAGTCAGCCGCAATCAGCCAGCTAAGGCTGCCTCAGGCATAAGATTCGGGTGATCCCGACAAGCGGAACCCCCCCTGGGAATAGCCTCATCCACAATCCTATTCTAGGAAATACCCTAACCCGGTTTCGAAAAGCCAAGATTACTCGACTCTGAAATCAGCCAATAGGAACCACGCCTGTCTCAGATCAGGGGTACCTTTCATCTGAGGCAAGACCCTTGTGTTCGTTCAATTGGCCCAATGGATATGCGGCCCCCAAAAGGCCGCAGCCAAAATGCAGCCAATTTGAATCTCACAGGGTCCTGCAATGACTGCCTTTTCCTGGGGCTGCACTTCCACCCTATTTATCTTAGTCTTCCCCGAATTTGTCATTCTTCCCACTTTGTTTTGTGTCTTCTAACCTACCATTGACAATAGCCCATATTCATAATGATTTCGACGTCTTCAAACGCGCTGGGTGCTCTAGCACTCTTCCTTGTTTCAGCCCAAGCCCTTGAATGGGGTACATACGCCTGCATGAAGAGTTCTGGGGACATGACCAAACTAGGCTCGTCGCCATACCAATCTGCCGGCTTGTGCCAGGACTTGTGCGAGAAAGAGAAGGGTTATTTCTTTGCCTTGCAAGGCGAAGGCTGCTGGTGTGGCAGTCAGCCCCCCGCCTTTGGTAGTATGGGTGGTTCGTGTGATACGGATTGTCCAGGCTATCCCGATGACAAGTGTATGTGTGAACTCCAACACCGCGTTGATAGAACCGATTGACCGCCGACTGACACTTGTCGCTTAGGTGGAGGCGACGGCACTTATTCGGTCTGGGAATTGGAGGAGGACTATTCGAATCCTAGTCTGGAGTCGAACACCGCGACGATGACCTCAACAGCAGTGACATCCTCTTCTGCTTCCTCCGCCTCCTTCTCTTCTTCTTCTCCTTCGTCCGCTGATTCTGGGGTCGTGACATCGAGCTCAGCGACGGTGGCCTCCTCGTCTGCTGCCATCCCATCAGCTACTACTACTACGCCAGTGGCTCAATCTGTTCATACTAATGCGGCCAGCCGCCCCTCCAAGTTCCTGTTTTTCTAATTCTATCAGTGGGCAAAGGTGGTCGAACGCAAATGTGATTTTTGTTGAAATATGTACAATAATATTTCGAACTGCATCTGCAGATCCTAGGATTCCATTTCGCTCGTTTTATAGCCTCGCCCTCGATACCTTGCCCAGCGGCAGAAGCTAGCTTAAGGTATCATGATAAGCCTAATACTATATTGCGCACAGTGAAATCTCCTCGTGGATACATAGATCAGAGTGCATCTGAGTGATGCATTGTCGATCATCTGTGGGCCGGTCTCAGGTCGGGGCTTGCAGTAGCTAGAGACAAATCTATTGTACGTACATGGGTGTCATCCCACCACTCCCGGAAACATATATCGCAAATACTTCCCCTGAGCCTCGATGCGACCGGCCATTGCAGGGATAGGAGAAAAGAAGATCTACGTGATCGCAAACACACCAATCCTGATATGGCAATCTGGTCTAAGATGTTACGCACAAGAGGTCAAAACTAGCCCGTGGAATAATGCTTTGTACGAACTATTGCTTGTTGGACATGGGAAATTGGAAATTTTGGAATATAGATAGAAGTTATCATTTAACAGACACATACGACCACAGGGTGTGGAAAACAGGGCTTCCCGTCCGCTCAGCCGTACTTAAGCCACACGCCGGGAGGTTAGTAGTTGGGTGGGTGACC